ACTCGTAATGGTGAGGAATGGGAGGTTTGCTCTGTGCATGTGGATATGCAGTGAGTCTCCATCTGTGCCAAGCAGACTTCAGGACTTCAAGTTTGGCTCCCTTCCCAACAGCAAATACATGGAGAAGAGGAAAGCTAGCCAAGTTTTAATCAAGTAAAAATTCTGTATCCAGAGGTGGCTGGCAAAAGAAGAGATTAAAGTATTAGGAGTGCAATGAAAACAAGACATTAGAGAGTTGAAAGCTGGAGTACCTGGATAAACCGCTTGCTGAGTGGATATTCCACAGCCATCAGAAGGAAGCCCTGGGTGTTTTTGAATAGGAAAAAATGTGAACCCACGCACCAGAACCTGTCTTCTTCCAGCTTTGGCTATCCCTGTGGCAAGTATGTAATATCCTAATGCCTTGCTGAGCTGGTAGGATAAATGTAATCATTCCCCTTAGAGATATTGCTAGCAGAGGGCTCATTAGCTGGCAGAAAGGCCAACAGCTGCAGACTGTTTATCTATGACAACTTTTTGGATAAATCTGAGCTTACACAGTTGCCTGTGTCCTAAGGTTTGCTGTGGAAGTGTAGATAGCTTTGCATGTTCAAACCCAAGCACAGAAGTTATGGACTGTAATTATGCAATTTCTCATGAGAGAAAGGAAAAAACCCTCACACTTGGTCATAGTAAAAATAGTAATTGGCTTTCCTTTCCCTCTACCACTGATGGTCCTGCTTGACCTTTTTTGATATTAAAAATAGGTTTGTGTGAATTGCTGGCAGTTAGTAGTATATCTGGAAAGATAAGGACTTTTTGTCCCTGAAGAAAGCCACTGTCTGTGTATTTACATGAGCACAGGTTAAGTGTTTGTTATTTTTTTTTATTGAAAAAAACCCAGCCAACAAAAACAAACACAAAACCAACCCCCAAAACCCCAACAGTTCAGCTTTCTTCACTATTTTTCATTTTCACACACCTGTCTCCCAGACAGGGCCAGAAGCAAAATTACCAAGTAAGAGAAGTTCCTCTTATGTTATTCTCAGCCTGGTAGAACCACAGCATGTCAAGTTCTTCACAAACATGTCTGAATTCATGAAGTTTCTCTTCCAGTTCTGCAGACTTAAAAGGCTCAGATAAAAATCTGGAATTTTAAGAGGCCAACAACAGTTTCCATTCATCCCAATGAAGAAAATAAGTCATATTAATGCAGCTACCAAGGCATTGTACTACTGTTATTTTTGTTTAAAGGTGTATTTTTCTCTACCTGTCAATTATATGCATCATTGTATTGGGTTACAAAAAAGTTGCATTTATCTTAATGGTTAAGATATATTTACTAAAGAACTGCATTATGTTTGCAGGTAAATAGTGTATTTTCTATTTATGTAAAATACATTAGTCCAAAAGAAAACTATAGTCTTAGGAAATAGTTTGAAAGAAAATATATATTCCAAAAAACATTTTTGAGGCAAGCCTTTTCAGGCTTAAAATGTTATAACAATTTGTTATAACTGGCTTGCTGTTCCAGAATGACTCTTATTAATAAGCACTCAGCAGATCATGAGCTGGACTTTTTACTGAGTTCATTTCATGTACTGCAAAGTTTTCTGCTGTCTGCTCTTCCAGGATTATGAGTTTCTCTGCTCAGTCCACTTTTGTTCCTGTATTGTCTGATCCCTGGGCTCCACTGCAACAGAAGTCTTTAATAATGGTAATAAAACTAACTTTAGGTGTCTGCATATTCAAATTGGTCACTCCAAATAGTATGAAATGGCCACACAGGATTCACATTAAGCATTGAAAATAACTAATAAAAATAAGGTGACTAAGAGTCTGTAACTGAGCCACGGTCACTTTTTAAGTCACTGATGAATGTACGAGTCCTTAATTGTTAGTTTTCCACATTTTAATAATGAGGCTTTTAGCACAGTGCAGTGTTATTGCCAGTTTCAGTGGAGATTAGAACCACTAAACAAAGGCTTCAGAAGAACTATCATTTGAGGTAATGTATCTGACATTTTAATTGATATTTAACCTCTTTAAATATATTGACAGAACTCTCTTTTGCTACACCACAACTCCCAAACGTGGAAATATTGTCCCCTTCCATCTCCAAGTGACAGCAAACATTGACTCAGCCTCCTTTGATGACATTTATCAGAAGGAAATTAGCATGAGTCATTTCAAGCTAGACTGGCTTGCCTGACTGACTGCTGAGCTCAAGATGCAATACTGTTTTGTTGCTTCTCAGTTCAAACCTCATGTGGCAGATAAAACTGAGATATAGTTGGCACTGGTTAAATGGAAGATAAAGGCAGAATAATCAGGTTTAGTAGTAGGAATAAAACACTTTTAGTAAGAATCCTGGTCATTGCTGTTAGCTGTACCTAAAACTGCTGAAAGGTAACCAAAATATCCCTGTAGGAATAAAACACTTTTAGTAAGAATCCTGCTCTGGTCATTGCTGATAGTTGTACCTAAAACTGCTGAAACGTAACCAAAATATCCCCCCCTAGTCAGTAAAAGTGTATTTCAGCTGAGTTGGATCAATTTATTACAGAACTATGTCTGCTTCATCCCCAAAAGGCAGAAGGATCTCCAGGAGCAGCTTTTGAGTCGATGGTAGTTGTGCCACAGGGTCATAGCCCACCGTTGTGGGAAGAGCCTGGGCTGGGCAAGCTCCTGAGTGAAGGCAAACTCAGCAGCCCTCGCTCGTTTTCCTCTCTCCCAGCTGGGGATCAGGATTACCAGCAGACAACACAGTACGCTCCAGTGGAGAGGCAGCTACGGAGTGGATTAGCAATTTGGCATGAAGCATCCTTGCTCACAAGCACCCTGCTTCGTGTGTGCACGCTGGGAGAGGGTTTAAGAACTCAAAAATGCACAAAGGCACAAATCTAAAAAAGCAGAGGCTTGACTGAGTCACCTAATTGTTCCTTTTAATCTCTAGCTTCTGTGACTCAAATATTCAATTTTTCCTTCCCTTTAACCGAAATCTGGCAGTTCCTCTTTATCTCAGACCTTCTGCTATTGGATTTATAATAAACTAACATTTTCCCAGACAGTATTTTCCTTCTGCCAAAAGTATTCCCAGAAATTGCTGATCCCAAGTAAGGCTGGAAGCAAAAGACTGTTATCAGTGAGGGTATTATTATTTGTAAGTCACCGTAAGGGTGCACAGTAGCAGATATAAATCAAGAGAAATATCTACTTCCCTTTCAGAAACCAACTAGGAATGTTTCATGATTTTTAAAAGAAACAGAAGGCTTGTTCATAGCCCAAGACACTACAGACACCTACAGCTGAGATTCTGTTCTGGGATCTGTTCCTTAGGCCATCGGGTGCGTGGACTGAGGTTGCAATCTCTTTCTCAAAGTAGCATATTACTTCCTGAACAATTTCTTGACATCCTTAGGACTATTCTGTGAGTAAAAAGCAAGTCAAAGTTAAGAGTACTGAAATCCAGCCTTCTATGGTCATTGATTGAAAAAGATTGAATCTTGATTTCATTTTTTGCATGTGGTATGAATCTGGCCTTCCACAGTCAGCACTTTTAAAGTAAGCAAATGTTAGTGTCTGATTTCTGCCTTGTCTCTCTGCTGCTAGTGCTGAATTAAAGGCTATTGCCCATCCCTTCATTCCATCCAGAATCCCCCTGGCAACAAATCCCCAGATCCATATTGTTGTCAAAACTCATAAAAACAGAAGTGGGCTTCTTCCACGTCTAAAGTTTTACACCATTTGCACCCTAATAAACATAACTTTGTCAACTCTGAAAGCAGGAGGGGGAAAAAAAGATCATGTCTCCATTGCATGGTTGTGGTCTGTTCATTGAAGGCAGCTAGATCCCAACTACCCCTCTGTGAGAACAGTGTTACGGCGAGGAAATAAATTTCTTGTTTTCTGTTAAATACAAGCAAATGTATCTGCTATGAAAAAAAAGAAAATGAAAGGCATTTGTGGAAGGTCTTTGCACTTCCCCTTCTTCCAGCATGGTAGAAGGATGTGTGAAGTGGCAGGATGAGCTTGGCATTTCGGTTGCTGCATGCTGTCTGGAGATGTTGGTTTGTGTGCACATTGAGCTGTTGGTGTGGCTTTCGAAAGGTGCTTGCTTAGCAGTGGAGAGGACTCGTGTAAATAAAGACATCCTTAGGCTCTGTCTTTAACCTTTGTGCACAACTCCCAATGGCTTAACTGTGGTTTCTAGGTGGTAGATGAAACAAAATCTCATCAGCAAATTGTCCTGTGCACGGCCTGTGATGCCATCACAATGTTTCCAAGTACGGTGGCACTTTCTGCAGGGGACAGTCTGGATGTGGGAAGGGCATATGAGGATTAGTGCTTTTCCATAGCAGGAGTTTCATGCTGTAAATTCTGAATTCCTTTTTGACTTTAGCCTACAAACATCTGTGGTGCCCACACAAACAGGCCTAGAGAGTACTGTGCAACTGTCCATGGGATCAAATCCTGAATTCCACTAAGTCATAGAAGACTTCTGCCACCGACATTGGCTTTGTGACTCACCATCAGGAGTTTGCCAGCTTTTATGACTACTACTCTTGCTTTCTTTAAGTATGAAAATAAGGGAAAATGTAAGATCTTTTCAGAGCATCTTTGCTTTTATTGGTTTTTATTCCTTCTCCCTAAGTTTATTCTGAAAATGGGGAGAAAATGTAAGTGTTTGTTAAGGCTACTTCACTGCATCTTCTAACACTGTGGTAGAGGGCATTAATAGACAAGCTCAGATGAATTTTTGAGACAGTGCAATATATTTTCCAATGAAAGCAGTGAATGTGAGTGTGTTTTAACTTGTTTCCTGTCTGACAAAGTTCTAGACTGATTTTTCAGTAGGATGATGAACAAAATACTCAAATGATCTTTGTGTGCAAACTGCTCTAATACTTTTCATACTGGGTGCACTTTTTATCATTTTCATTGAGTTACTGCTGTATATTTTGGGTGAATGAGCTGTTTCACTGATTCTGATGGGAACATTCTCTGGTTTTCTGTTGCAGGAATTGCTTACTTGGGAGGAGTCTGCAGTGCCAAGAGAAAGTGTGTTCTTGCTGAAGACAACGGTCTCAATCTGGCATTTACAATTGCACATGAACTTGGGCACAAGTAAGAACTTGTCCTTCTGTTTCTTTCTTTACTGATGCTGCTATAGCATACTTTTATTTAAGTGAAATTACTAGTGTGGCATGTTTGTTATGATTTTGTAAATCTATCAGATTGATAAATAATTTTTAAGAGACTTATGTAAATATTCAGTTCAGCACATACAAAACTTTCTATTTGATCCTCCCCTACTTTCCACTCTATGTTTTGATTTTGAGTAGCACAAAGAGGCCTCATTCTCTTAAATGATTGATGGTAGTAGAGACAAAATCTGCTTTTGTTTATGCTGTAGCATAGGTCCACAAAAACAACATCAACTTCAAAATCTTTGAACTTGCTGGATTTTCTCTGAAGTTCAGGTGTCTCTATCAAGGATTTTAATAATTAAATACTTAGGTAATGGTTTCATCTCTGCATGTAAAATAATCTACTGTGGCTGAAATTGTAAACCATCAGTATTTTGGAAATGCCCTTAAGCAGTATTATTTGATCAACAGAAAGAAATCATAGAACTTTATTTATCAGCTCAATCACAGCTAACTAACACACTTTGAACACTGACTGGAAAAAACAGCAAAGAACATGATAGTTACTAGCCAGACAGAAATTTGCAGAATGAGATTACTGGGTACTTTCTGCAGGTGACTTTGAAGACTTTTAAAGCTGCCTGTAAATATCCCATGGACAGAAGAAAACAAAATTGACTGGAAGAGTCACCTGCATCGTCTTGGTGCAGTTAATGAGTTACCCCAAAGGTCAGCATCCACCTTCACTGCTTTCCAGGCTAAGTGTAATGTGCACTTACTCATAATACTTACAAGCTTTTTTCCCTTTCCATTGACATCACTCTGGTTGCACTCTGGTGTCACCATTAGTCTGTGTAAGGTGTGGAATTAGACCAAGAACAAATTTATACAGGGGCAAGGGCTGTACCTATGGGATTTTCAAGTCTTCCTTCCTTCAGCCTCTCTGGATGGAAGGTGGGAAATCCCACCGTTGTTCCTTTAGTAAGAAGTTGTGCTTAAATTTTGTCTGCACCCTTTTGGACTCATGCTGTTTATGTGTCTGCTGTATCTTCCTTTCAAGTATTTGACAGCTAAGTCAGAGCCAATGTATCATGTTCAGATTCTGGCCAGTCTCATTCCATGACAAATAATTATTTTATGGCAATGTATTTCAAGGTTGCATGGAGGATATTTAGGTTACTACCAAAAATGACAAGATGAAAATGAATCTCCTGTTCACCCTCCAGTGACACCAAAGGTAACTGAGCCAAACCGAGGGTGGTTTCAGCAGAAATGAAGGACATTTGGTTTTGGTTTTACTTAAATTGTATGCCAAGATGTTAAATTGAGCCTAAACTTAATAACAAATTAACCTGTGGGTAATGTTAAGGGAAATTCAGCACTCATCTTTGGATGGGCCAAGAGCAGGAGGGAAAAATACTTGAGCTGCAGAAAATCCAGCTGTGTAAAAGACTTGAGACTGGTCTGCCCTGGTGTTTGCCAAGTTTCCCAGCAGAGCTGTCAAGCTTCCTTCTAATAATGCCTTGCAAAAAATCCACAACCTAAATAGGGGATGTAATGCTTTTGGATACATCTCTCCATCTGTGCAAGAAATAGCAAACTCCATTTTCTTTTCTGAGTGCAATTTTGGTGGTAAGACCACAGTGTCCCTTCTCTGCTGGTTTTCTTTCTTTGCCTCTGTCTTGGAAAACTATTTCAAGAGGTGGGTATGAGGTGTCTAAAGGGGTTGACAGAGAGCAGCTTGGGTTCAGTACCGTGGAGGATTTGGACAGTGAGGGTGCTATTGTGCAAAGAATCTTCTGTTTCAGGAGAGTCATAGATCCAATTGTTGGGAGAGATGGAGGGCTTAAATGAAGATTGCAGGTGAAGAAGGACAAATGACAAAGGAGATTGAATTTTCTAACAGATCTGCCTCATCAGCCCCTTACCTGAGAGAGAAGAGATTAGAACATGCTTAGGCAAGAGAGACTGGGAAGAGTACTTGATTACTGGAGGGGCTTGGAGGGTCTGTAAGAGCCAGTCTAGGGACCCTGAGGTGTCTGGGGAATGTAGGGCTCAGAAGGCTCATGAGCCAGGAAGGCTCCAACTGAAACAGCCATCTGGGTTAGGTAAGAGAAGCTGCTGGCAGGATTCTGGTGCCACAGGTGTTTTGGGGACACATCCAGGTTAGCCTTTTTCACAGTGAGTCACAATTCTCTGTCACACATTGGAGCAAGCCCTCCATTCCTTATGCCCCTTCTTGCCTTGCTTAAACCCAGCCATAAGCATACATAATCAAACCCTGATGTACCAAATCAAAACAGAGGAGAAAAAATGCCATCTGTCTCTCATCACTCAACCTGAGCATCAAAATCATCCCTCTATGCTGTCATCCACCACTGGCCTTGTTATTTATCTCAAAGTCTGGTCAATTTACTGCTGCCTTTCTGGCACTGAATTCAACAGGAGTCTTTTCATTGACCTTACTAGGTCTCCTTATTTGTCTGATTTCAAAAAGCAACAGGATGATCTGAGCAGTCCTTTTTCAGCCCATCTTGTACAAATAGAAGAACTGCTTGCACACTTTACCTACAAACTTAGAGTTTTTAAGTGACTGGGAAATGTAAGAAAACCCATTGCAGAGATGAAGACAAAGCTGACATGAGCTTCAGGTTTAAAAATGAAAACCAAAGAAAACTAGGTGCAAGTTTCTTAATTTAAAAAAAAAAAATCCAATCAAAACTTACATCCATATTGGCAAAAACATAAATTTTGGAGAGCCATAACTGTGAGCTTTGTTGAAGGTGGATTTCCTTATGAGTGTAGAAAAGCTGAGATTTATTACTTCTTGCCCTAAGACTAACAAATGTCTGTGGAGATCACAAGCCCAGTTTGGCATTCACAGATAGTTTCTGATGTAGACTTTGGAAAAAGTGAATGGATTACTAATTGATGTGTCAGATTCTTAATTTGCCACTAATGTCATTTGGACTTACTGCAAAAAACACTATTACGGACAGCTGCACTGTGAAAACATGGAGACATCATTAAATAAGTCCATTAGGGGGATGCTTCTAGGTCCTGTAAAAGTTCATCTTCAGGTTTAACCTGTAGAGTTGTTGTTGCTTGATGATGGGGTGAATGATATAATTTTTATCTGTTGTAATTGTATCCTAAAATCTGGAGCAATAATTTTGATCCATGGGCAAAAAGGGAACATCCATTTGTATTTAGATACATTTTTTCCTACAAAAGGGTCTAGGAGAAGTATTTTGCTGTTACAAAAAGGTAACAGGCAGGGAAGAGACCACTGAATGTGTGTGGAGGCTGCAAATCATAAACTTCTTGCCATATAAGACAGGACCCTCAGCATGTCTTGTTCCTTCATTCAGCATGATCAGAGTGGATGACTTTTAAAATAACACACTTGAATTAAACATAGTTAGTTGGTTTTTATCCAGGGATTGCTGGGTGGAGTGCTGTGGTCTGACCTACACAAAAGGGAAGACACAGAGATCACAGTGGTCTCTGAAGTCTTAAAAAGTTTAAGTCCAAGGTCTTCATATTATAAACAGCTTAATATGCTGAACATTTCCTTGCTCTCATCTTTCCTCAGACTAACAGGGCTAGTCCAAGAGCTTGAAAGTGCCAATGGGATCTTGAATGGTGCTTCCCTCCTCCTCCATGAACTGCACCACTGTGAAGTTGAGCTGAGATTCATACACCAAAGACCACCCTGAACAACTGTGACTTTTAGAAAAATAGTGCCACTTCCCCCTCCCCTGATTCTCCTTTTGCCTACAGCAGTGACATTGTTACCATTTTCAAGTCATTCTCCAAAGAAATAAGGTTTTTTTGAACAAAAGCTGGGATTCATCTTTATATCCGTTATCCCCTAAATGAAGCGGGTGGGCTGTAGCCAGTGGTTTTTCAGGACAACAATGCCAGCTTTGTTGCCATTCCTGTTTCTTTCAACAGCCTCAGCTTTCCTGTTGTGGGATGGGGGGCAGGCTTGGGTGGGGAGAGAAGATTCCCATTCATGAGCTAGCGGAACCTGGCACTGCCTAGATGGTGAGAGAATAGCCGGAGGTGGTATGGCTGGGAGCCACGCCGTGTCAGATGCCCTTAAGAAAGTGAATCAAAATCAACTGACAATAAGCAAGATGCAGTTCGTTGCCAACAGTCTGAAACCGCATGGCCTCAAACTTGAAGCTGAAACAGATGAGGACAAAAATGAGTCCAAAGGTAAAAAGCCTACAGTGAACAAACCAAGCAGTTCTGGATTTGGAATCAGCCAGGAGGAGGGTTTAGAACTGGCAGGTTTCTGTCCAGTGTGATGATTTGCTTTAGATGTTAAGCACTGATAGATGTAGCTTGGTTAAAATTACCTTAGGGTGCTTAATTATTTGCTGCCTAATTAATTATGGCCTTTGTGGTGTGTCTCAAGCAAAAGTGGTGTTGCAGGTAAGGGAAAAGCACTGTCTGAATGTTCACTTTGTGGCCTGATATTTATGGTAATAGACTTGTGAATAAACTTACCTCCCTGATCTGTCTAGTGCAGCACCCAGCAGAGAGATTTTGTCATTCACATAGTTGTAAGGCAGAATGTGAAAATATTGCAGGCTGAAGGGGAATGTGTCTTGAGCAGATCCAAAAGGTGCAGAATAATGCCCTGTGACAACTTACACTGGCAAAGCCAGGTCACTGTGGTGCAGGCTTACAAGCCTTAATTCCTAAAAACCAAACAGGAAATTAACAGTCCCCCTTCTCCCTCACCCTGCAATTTATAAAGATTCAGTCATGATGCATTTTAAAAATGAAAAGTTTCACGTAGAAGCTGAGGACCACCAGAGTAAATGGGATGCTGATCTGAGCAGTCAGGTAGTGCTGCAGAGCACACGCTGTCCTGGTGTAAAACTGTTTCTTTCTCTCAAGCAATCTGTTCTGTGCTTCCAGTCAGCGCAGCGCCGGCAGCCAGGGAGCCAGCCAACCAAATCA